GACAGAGTTGAGTAAGGAAGTAAGTCTCAGGGATGTCAGAGGAGAGCTATGTTTTAGTTGCAGTGGAGATTCTAATATGGCCTGCAGAAGAAACTGTATGTATATCCATACATCATACTACACAATGGAGCATTTATTTTATGAGTTTCTAGTTTATAATTTGAAATAAATTAAAAATTAAAAGTTTTAGTCTTCCAAAAAAAATTTAAAAAGAGTCAGAAGAAAAGACACAGAGAAGTCCCCGTGAAGGCAGAAGCAGAGTGTGGATCCACACATCCATACAGCCACAAAAAATGTTGGAAGAGGCAAGGAAGGCCCCTCCCTGAGAGCGTTTGAGGGAGCGTGGCCCTGCCAACACCTCGATTTTGGACTTCTAGCCTCCAGGATTGAGAGAATAAATTGGTTGTTTTCAGCCACCAAGTTTACATGATCTGTTACAGCAGCCCCTGAAAACACAAAGCCCCACTGCTTCTTTTCATCACTGGCAACTCCAGGAGGTCTCCCAAAGGAAGGCAGCAGGCTATACAAACTTATACCTACCTCAGGTAGAGGTAACCAGGCTTTGTTCTGGGTCCCTAAGTAATGATTCAGAACCAAACACTGCAAATGCTCCTGCTGCCTACATTTCTTGGAGAAAAGGATGAGAAGAAGAGGGTTCACACAGGCTCCACTGATGTGGGTCTGACTGTCTGCTTCAGTTTCCACCTAAGTTGGTTTGCAAATATAACACTCCTTATGAGATTTGCAGAACCAATCAGAAAGGCAGAAGAAACTGCACAAAGAAAAACCGATGGGCACAAAGGCCCAAGAGAGATGGAAGTATGGAATAAGGCATGCGACCCTGCCCTTTACACTGGCAGAAGCCTTTTCATACAAACTGCCATAAAAACAGAGAAACGCAGATACATAAATATCTTCATATAAATCTTCACATATGCCTTGATCAGTTTTGGTAATACATCCTCGCATTTATTTATTTATTCAGAGACGGAGTCTTGCTCTGTCACCCAGGCTGGAGTGCAATGGCACAATCTTGCCTCACTGCAACCTCGGCCTCTGGGATCAAGAGATTCTCCCGCCTCAGCCTCCTGAGTAGCTGGGATTATAGACACACACCACCACGCCTGGCTAATTTTTATATTTTTAGTAGAGAAAGGGTTTCACCATGTTGGCCAGGCTGGTCTCGAACTCCTGACCTCAAGTGATCCACCAGTCTTGGCCTCCCACAGTGCTGGGATTACAGGCATAAGCCATCACGCCTGGCCCTCACATTTGCAAACAGGCACAAGCTGGTGCATTCCAAGGTCTGACAGGCATTGTTGATGTCTGCTGTTGGTTTCCGCCCACCACTCTAGAGTCAGGACGTACATCCTACTATCTTTTAGACATATGATGGTACCTTATGTCTCAAATGCTCCACGTGCAGTTGCTATGAAACTAGCAAAATGAAACATCATCTAGAAAATAAATCCAAAGGGTACAAGAGAAATATGAATCTGGTAACACAATGTTCTCCAACTTAAGAATATAAAGTATTCTACATCTCTCTTTAAAAGAGCCACTCACTCCAGAGTATTCATAGAGCATGCCCTTCCCTTTGCCACTGTAAAATTAGATGAACGTACATTTGCAAGTTAACTTTGAGTGGAAATTGTGAAATGATTATCTAAGATCACGGAAAAGCTCAACAAAAGCTGCTTGCCTTTTCCAGGCCACCTCTTAGTAAGATGGTTTTTATCCCTGGCCTTAACTCACTGCCTACCTGAAACATGAATTTCCTGGATATAAAAGTTACCCGGGTTTTATTTCCTTGTGTCCTCTCTTCAGAAATTCTGTGTTTGGAGAATGTTTTCAGAAGCAGCACCCCACTGATGAAAAAGAATAAACCTAGTTTCCTAACTTTGTGACCAAATGCTGCTAATATTGATGTCTAATAGTTCCTCAAATATTATTCCCACACCTTGATTTTTAAACTGGGCCAGGCGCAGTGGTTCACGCTTGTAATTCCAGCAATTTGGGAGACCAAGGCAGGTGGATCACCTGACACCAGGAGTTGGAGACCAGCCTTGCCAACATGGTACAACTCTATCTGTACTTAAAATACAAAAATAAAATCGCTGGGCACGGTGGCGTGCACCTTTAATCCCAGCTACTCGGCAGGCTGAGGCAGGAGAATCATTCGAACCCCAGAGGCGGAAGATGCAGTGAGCTGAGACTAGCCATTGCATTGTAGCCTGGGCAATAAGAACAAAACTAACTAAATAAATAAATAATAAAATTTTTTATACTGAACATCAAGAAAACAGATTTCCCTAATATACTATTTCCCAGTCACAAATAATTAAAAATCCATTTATTCAACAAATATTTACCGAGAAGCTATTTTGTACCAGACGTCAGTTGCAGGGGCTTTACGGCAATGGATGAAACAGACAAAAGCCCTTCCTCATGCAACTTACATATTAGGGAGGAGAGGGAGAATACATATGAAAAATAAATACAATAAACAGTATGATAGTAGTTGATAAGTGCACAAGAGAAAAGCAAAATGGGAGATAAGACTTGGAGCTGATATCTCCCATACACCCATATACCAGCAATCTGAGAAACAATCTTCAAGTGTTACACCTTCTCCCTTCACTGTAGTGAGTCTTCATTTATTTGCTAACATCTTCTCCCACAGACATGTCTTAATTCAACTGCTGCTAGCCTTGTCTTTTAAGTGTTGTCACTTGCTGCTCATCACATTAAAATATCTTTCTTCTCTTTTTTTTTTTGAAACGGAAAAATATCTTTTTTTTTTTTTTTTTTTTTTTTTTGAAACGGAGTCTCACTCTTACCCACTGGAGTGCAGTGGCATGAGCTTGTCTCATTGCAACCTCCCCCTTCTGGATTCAAGCGACTCTCCCGCCTCAGCCTCCTGAGTAGCTGGGATTATAGGTATCCGGCACCACGCCTGGCTAATTTAGTATTTATTTTTATTTATTTCTATTTATTTATTTTAGTAGAGATGGAGCTTCACCATGTCGGTCAGGCTGGTCTTGAAGTCCAGACCTCAGGTGATCCGCCCACCTCTGTCTCCCAAAGTGCTGGGATAACAGGTGTGAGCCACTGTGCCTGGCACATTAAAACATCTTTTGGGGAATAAATTTCTTTTTTAAAAAGACAAATTGGTGGGGGCGGAAAGACACTAACATTTACCTATTATCAAGCCAGGCCAGTGGTAGACACCTTTGTATTCATTATCAGAGTTGACGTGTATATATCCCCATAAGGGAGATGGCACGATTCTCATTTTACAGAGGAAGAAATGGACACTCCAGGGACTCGCTTAAGGTCACACAGTAAGTGGCACAGCTGAAATCTGAACTTTGCTGCCTATATTTGTCTTACCTTCAAAATTCTCCACTTTTGGGATTCTTTTTCTTAACCCATCTTTTTCTTGGCTTATCACTAAGGATCATTCTTTCATACTGTCTTAGATGGCAGGAATTACTTTCCTCAATTATTTAAAAGCAGCCTCATCTCCTTTCTCTATAACCCTAGGGTTAAATTAGACTGCATTCAAATGAATGGAATAAAACCTTTATGAGCTGCACTGACCACCAATTTTAAAATTAAAATAACCACTGACTGTCATGACAACTGGCATCTTTTTTCTGCAGTCGTCTTCCGTTTACTTATTTCTTTTGCAAAAGAACCTTAAGCCTAAATCTGAAGCCAGTGGGATACCTAGGTGGCCCCTGGGATTCCGCATGGATTACGAAATATTATGAATAAAATGCAATACACAATGCTGTAGATAATCAGCAGCGTAAACCAGTAAGATCCAGACGTTTTTCTTTACGGGTGTTCTCTGCGCATTACCTCAGTAACAGTTTCCAGGTCGGAGGAACTGGAACGCATGCAGTTTGGAATACAGTCCCTGACAATGCACTAATCTCGGAACTTACTCCCCTTGCCTCGCTCGTCCTCTACTATGCACTGAGCAGCAGATGAATTTTTGAAAAATAACTAGGAACGCACACGGGGATACTAATGAATTCTCTGCTGTCTCCTCGAGAGCCTGGCTGGAAATTCTGAGTCAGAAGCCTTCGGAACGGAGCAGACAGGACCGAGGCGGGAGGCCGACGCCGGTGTGCGGGTGCCGGAGTCCCGGCCGCTCCCCGCCGCAGGCACAGCGAGGGTCTCGGCCGAAGCCGCCCGCCGGCGCGCGGCACCAGGCGGCGCTCGGCCCCGGGCTGGGCCATGGCTGCTGCGCCCCGCGCGCCCCGCGCCCCGTCGGGCCCGGCAGCCGCGGCCTCGCCCCCCGCCCCGGCCCCCGCTCGCGCTCCCGCTCCAGCTCCGGTCCCCGCTCCGGCTCCCGCTCCCGCTCCCGCTCCGGCCCCCGCCCCGCCGCCCCGGCCCGCGCCCGGCCCGGCTGGGGCTCCGCGTCCGCGCGGCCGCCTCACCACAGCTTCCTCTTGAGCGGCAGGAGGCTGCCGCGGTTGGAGGGGGTGACGCCGATGGCCATCTGCAGCACCGTCAGGTATTTCTGGTACTTCATCTTGTCCCCGCTCCGCTCGCGGGCAGGGCCCCGCCGCCGCCGCCGCCGCCGCAGACACAGCCCCTCCAGGCGCCGCATAGATCAGCTCTGGGCCATCCGCCGCCGCCGCCGCCACAGCTCCCGCCGTTCCCGCGCCCGCCGCGCCCGCCGCTGCGGCCGTGCGTGGCCCGGGCTCCCGCTCCCGCCGCCGCCGCCGTCGCCGTGCGTGCCCGGCCGCTCCCGCCGCCGCTGCGCGTGGCCCGCAGCTCCCGCCGCCGCCGCCCCTTCCAGCCCCGCAGGCCGTGGCCCCCGGCGCGCGCCGGCGGGCGGGTGCGGGTCTCGCGCGCGGCCGGGCTGGCGCGGCCCGGGCACCGGAGCCGCGGGGCGAGGCCGGGCCACCTGCGCACCAGCAGCCCTGCCCAGGCCCTGCGCCCCCGCGTGCTGCGGTGTTTCCAGGCGCTGGCGGGAACTCCTTTTCAACCGTTAGCACCCAAGGAGAATCCCAACACGCTTACAGCGCGGATTAAAAACAAAAACAAAAACAAAAAGCCTATTGCTTTGTAAAACCATCAATGTATGTGTTCTACCCCAAAGTGGTTGTTGACAATTTCACATTGACATATAATGCATATTGCGGATACGGTAATTCTTCTGGACGCTGGAAATGACTGAACCCTGAAAAACTACCTTAGTAATCAGTGGGAAAAATCAAGATTGTTCCGCGACTTTAAACAGCTGTTCTCAAAACATTCAAAGCAGTCCAGGCGCGGTGGCTCACGCCTGTAATCCCAGCAGTTTGGGAGGCCCAGGAGGGAGGATGGCCCGAGCCCAGGAGTTCCCAGACCACCTCTGGGCAGCACAGTGAGACCCTGTCTCTACAAAATAAAAAAAAATTAGCCAGGTGTGGTGGTGTGCACCTGTAGTCCCAGCTACTCAGGAGGCTGAGGTGGGAGGATGACTTGAACCCGGGAAGCCGAGGTTGCAATGAGCCAACGTCGCATCGCGGCACTCCAGCCTGGGTGACAGAGCAAGTCTTTGTCTTGGCAAGAAACAGCAACAACAAAAGAACCATTCGAAACTCAGTTAACTAATGGTTACAAATACATTGCATACGAAAATGAAAAAAGATTACCAGTTTAAAACATTCAAACATCGAAAATTATTTTATGTCTTTGCAAAAATAAAACTTGTTAAGGATAACTTGAACAGTACTTTTCTTCTAGTATAATTCTTATACACCAAGAGAACACCTTTTCTGTGCCTTGGCAAAACACCACATTTGGATTACAGGCAGTATTTTATCCTTTGCACTTCCAATGCCGTGCAAGGTCTCAGAGAGTTCCTTTAATGTAAAATTTTTTTGTGGACCTCACTTCCTCCGGGACGTCCTCATCCTTTTTGTCACAGCCGCTTTCCTTATTTCAGTGTGCTTTGAGTAAGTTTCACTGATTGCATATCTAGAGTCTCTGGAAAGTCAGCACTCCCACAGTTGCCTATTTCTTCTGTATTACTTTATTTGCATTCAATTCGAATTTCACTTCAATTCTATCTTTATCATTTTTTTATTTCTTTGCTGCACTTTCATCTTTGTTGACCCATTCCCTTTCAATTATCCATTTTAATATAATGCTTTGTGAGTTTATCACTTGGAGAAAAGGAAGCAACACAGTTGCACACTTTGCTGTCAGTGCCTAAGCTAACATGTGCAATGACCTGTCACTGACAAATTTTGAAAGAACTGCTTTGATTGGTCACTGGTTGTTATGGATGTCTACTGTTTACGTAGGGATTTATGGACTAAAGAGCTAGAAGCAAAGATTGTACTATATGTCCACTAATATGCCATGATAACTGAAATTTGTTTTTTGTTTTTATTTTATTTTATCACCTAGATAGTAGTCACCTTGAGACAGGCTCTCACTCTGTTGCCCAGGCTGGAGTGCAGTGGCACAACCGTGGCTCACTAGAGCCTCTTCTTCCCAGCCTCAAGCGATCTTTCCACCTGGGCCTCCCAAGTAGCTGGAACTGCAGGTGTACACCACTAAGCCTGGCTAATTTTTGTATTTTTATTTTTTGAAGAGACAGGATCTCACTATGTTGCCCAGGCTGGTCTTAAACTCCTGGGCTCAAGCAATCCTCCCACCTCAGCCTCTCAAAGTGCTGTAATTATAGGCATGAGCCACCATGCCCCATCCAGTAACTAAAATTTTAACCATATTTTGAGGTACAGGTGTTCTTCAACTAAATAGCTGACATTATCATAGCTGAACCTGCAAAGCAAGTGATGCCTATTTGCATATATTCATACTATATATAAGTGTATATGTATAGTATATATGAAGAGTATCAGTAATAAGCACCTATGCATCCACCAGGCAGAAATGTTACCCCGCTCCCTCCACAGCTTATTCCTCCTATACCTCTATATAAACACTTCAGCTTCAAATTAATTCACATGTAAGATTAAAACAACACAATTTCCCCGGGGTTTGGGTTCCCAACATGATTTCACACTTAGGTAGGAAAGCAGGTCTAAATATTTTACTTTCATTTATGCAGAAGATTTAGCTCTCACATAAAATGAGGAATTGGCGGGTTTTAGACACTTCGGATGTATACCCACCCCTGGGAGAAGACCTCCTTGGAGCAGAACTTTTAAGAATATCAGAGCCTGTTCTTATATATTCACCATTTCAAATGTATGTTTGGCCTTTTGCCTTACCTTGTCATAATACTTGTAAGATATTTGTTGAAAATACGACACTGTGCTCAAAGATTTAGACACCTGGAGGCTGAGGGGCCTATTCAGGATAATGAGCAATAAAAATAAATCTGGGAGAAGCACTTCTAGAGTGATAGAAAACCTCCTTCTCCATAAAAGGGAGCACCCTGGCAAAAATGGTTAAAACCAACTCCAGAAATTCACCAAAAGCTTACAACAATCCAAGGAGTATTTATTCAAGAAAAATTACTGAATCTTGGTGAGTACAGTAAGCTTTACGGCATTTTGATCTGCCCAATTCCCATCTCCTTCTCTCCAGCACTACAGTAGCCTGGTAAGCCAACAGTCTCACAACTACAGTAGCTTTGAAAACCATCCAGCAGCCACGGGACAGGGCAGAATGGGTTTAGATCATCTCAAAAGCCCCATGCTAAGTAAAATGTCATTATTTGACCCATCTGGAGGCACCTTGAAAAGTTCCATTCTCAGGGCTTGTCTTTATTTGACCCAGCTCAGAACTTGCTCTGTGCAAACAGCCCTATCCCTAGTGCATTTGTGGAAAACAATCGGTAGCAACTGTTGAATGTCACAGTTACCTGAGGTGATGAAACTGTTTGGTACTAACAAGAAGCTAACCACAAAAGTTGAAAGGAAACATGGGAAATCAGAGTCCATATAGTTCCTTGAAAATCTTTGACATAGACCTATGAATCCAGAATGTCATGCAAGATATGCATGTGCATGCAGGGCTGTGAACACACTCAGAAAACACCTGAGAGACTCTAATCTCTCACTTCTATCTGACCCTTAGTTGCAAGCAGAAAATAAAGGCTAAGGAAGAATTGTAAACTACCTACCACAATGTACAAGGCATACGCCAGCATACACCTCTCAGCAAAGGCTAGAGGATTTATTGGTTGAAAGCATTTAAGAAAATATGTGTGCAATCATTAGCTAAGCACTAAACTATCCAAGCAGAGACTTTAATGGCCGCACACAAAAAAGAATACAGACTTTATAGATTAGTCCAGCAAAGTCACAAAACCAATAACAAAGCTCAGTGGAGAGGAGGGGATACGATTTCTAGAGTTGCCACATTATGTTGTTCAAAATGTCCAAATCTCAACAAAAAAATTCACCACGTGCACAAAACAAAATTATGGCCTATATGCAGGAAAAAGCAGTTAATAGATACCGTTCCTGAGGACTTCCAGGCATTGGGCTTACCGCTCTTCCCACTGCTGTAGCCCTCACCCCGACTCCATTTAAAGTAGCCAATCAGGATCGGCTTAGATTGTGCTGTCTGACCCCAGCCAATGGGGACTGGACACAGCAGCAGGGACTGACTGCGTTATGGATAAAAACCCCTTCCCCGCTTTGTCCAGTATGCCCTCACAGTGACTGGAAGAACAAGCAGCACCCTTCTGCAGAAGCAAATTTATCTTGCTAAGAAATCCTTTATTTGAGTGCTTATTTTCTTTGTGACTCCGAGCTCTTATTTCCAACAGTATCCTCTCTCACTTCAGTGAAAATGGAATTATATTCTCAGGAGAAAAACTAGAGAGTAGCATTAGGTACAACAGGGTGGGCTACTAGACTAAAAAGGAGAAGGTTACAGGAAAGCTGTATATGGAGTGTTAAGATGCTAAACTCCTGTCACCCAGATCTAGAGTGCTAGCAACCTCAGGCAAAGATTTACATATCTCCCCATGTGGACCATCACAGTTTTTTGTTAAATCCATAGATTTCATTGTTGTGACTATTTAAACATTGTTTAGTATTGTGCTGTGATTATATTTTCCTGCCTTATACAATTTCTTATTTTACCTGGAGTTAATAATTGCTTTGTTTTCAACTTGTTGTTTTCCTGAAACCCGTGACTAAATGTTCCCACATCCACAACAGTAATGTCAAATGCCTGCAATACAGTTTTCCACACACTCAAACCAGTCTATCCATTTCATTTTTTCTTGGACTCAGCCCTCTGAAGCCCCCCATCCTGCTGCTTCTCTCTGTACAGATGTGCTCTCCATGCTTGTGCCCAGTTCAGAGGGGGAGAGAGAGAGAGAGAGAGAGAGAGAGAGAGAGAGAGAGAAAGACAACAGAGACAGAGAGAGACAGAGAGACAGAAAGAGAAAAAGAGAGAGAGAGAGCTGTTTATTTTAAGGAATTGGTGCATGTGATTATGGAGACTTGATAAATACAAAACATGCAGGGTAGCAGGCAGGCTGGAGACCCAGAGAAGAGTTGTAGTTTGAGTCCAAGGTCAGTCAGTCAGGGTCAGAAATTCTTTTTGCTCAGGAAAGGTTGATTTTTATTCTATTAAGGTCTTCAACTGTTTGGATAAGGCCCACCCCCATTATGGATGGTAATCTGCTTTACTCAAAATTCACCAATTAAATGTTAATTACATCTAAAAATTGCCTTCACAGAAACATTCAGAATAATGTCTGACCCCCCATGTAGGTTTGAAAAGGAATGAAGAGGAAAGAGAGTGGTAAATATATTGATGTATCTAAGCAAATACTGATTAATAAAATAATAATAACAATGTCTTAATGGGTTAAAAAGAATAATTAAAATACATAGAATAATAATTTGTAAGTTGGGAATTAAGTAAAAAGAATTAAAGTATTCTTTCTCCTTCCTTCCTTTCTCTTCTTTCTCTCTCTCTCTCTCTTTCTTTCTTTCTTTCTAATAGATTTTTGCTCTTGTTGCCCAGGCTGGAGTGCAATGGCATGCTCTTGGCTCACTGCAACCTCTGCCTCCTGGGTTCAAGTGATTCTCCTGCCTCAGCCTCCCAAGTAGCTGGGATTACAGGCAACCACCACCACACTTGGCTAATTTTTTTTATTTTTAGTAGGGATGGAGGTTCACCATGTTGGCCAAGCTGGTCTTGAACACCAGACCTCAGGTGATCCACCTGCCTCAGCCTCTCAAAGTTATGGGATTACAGGCATGAGCTGCCATGCCTGCCCCAATGTTCTTTTATTATGAGGAGAAAGTTAAGGAATCTGTTAACTTTATAGACTTTATTAAGCAGCATATTATAATTTCTAAGGTGACTACTAAAATAAATAAACAAAATGCACAGCTTTAAAACTATTTAAAGGAGAAAATTTGGAATGATTAAAATACTCAGTATATCCAAAATAAGATAAAAAATGAGAAAAAAACCATGGAATGGGTGTATCAAATAGAAAGCACAAAATATGTTTGCAGATTTAAACTCTCATACATATAAAATGTGAGTTGTGCCTTTAGGAATAGTGCAATGTCATGGCCTTAACAATGTAGTGTTAATTACATTTCATGTAAATAAATTAAATGCTCCAGCTAAAAGATTTTCAGACTTAATAAAGACAAATTCTATCTCCATGTTATTTATAAGAAACATGTTTTAGAGTGAGGTGGCTCACGCCTGTAATCCCAGCACCTTGGGAGGCCAAGGCGGGTGGATCACGAGGTCAAGAGATGGAGACCATCCTGGCCAACATGGTGAAACCTCGTCTCTACTAAAAATACAAAAATTAGCTGGGTGTTTGGCACGCGCCTGTAGTCCCAGTTACTTGGGAGGCTGAGGTGGAAGAATCGCTTAAACCTGGGAGGTGGAGGTTACAGCAAGCCGAGGCTGTGCCACTGTGCTCCTGCCTGGCAACAGAGCAAGACTCCGTCTCACAAAAAAAAGAAAAGAAACATGTTTTAGAAATATGAGGATATAGAAAAGTTAAAAGTTAAAGGGTTATATAAGATATACCAAAAAAGTCTAAGCCAAAGAAAACTAGTATAGCTATATTAAGGAAAATATAGTTTTAAAGAAAATAAAATTACAATAAAAAATCAGTGAAGACATAAAAGGTTTGAATAAGATAATACTATTGACATAGTGAGATCACCTAACTACTGCAGGATATTATATATTTCAAATATACAGATCATTTATTAAATACAAATGGACAAATAAAAGCAAGTCTCAATACATTTCAAAGGTTTAAAATCATACAATGTGTGTTCTTAGATTATAAGACAATTATGCTAGCGATCAGCAAAAATTTGAATGAGAAAAATTAATATGTTATGGATTAAAAGACAATCATGTTTCAAAACAAAATCATAAAAATATTAGAACATATTTTGAACAGAATCATAACAGTATCACATATAAAAGTTATAACATAATTTCAAAATAAGTATATTCAGAGAATCTGGAAATTAATTAAGTAAACATTAATCTCAAGAAGTTGGATATGCTTGAGCAAGAAAAAAACAATGAAGATAAAAGAAGTCTTTGAAATAGAAAGAGAATATATAATAGATTTGACAAAGCGAAAAGCTGCTTCATTGATTTTAACAAAATTTAAATATCTGTCAAGAATGATTTAAAAAAAACTGAGAAGGCACAAATAATCAATATTTAGAAACGGAAAGGAGACACACTTAGGTATATTGTAGATATTTAAAAGATAGCACAAGATTAACAGGAACTTGAAAAATGTAGGCAAAACAAGATAATCTTCTAAGAAATATATAACCTACCAAAGTTTCTTCAGGAAGAAACAGAAAATCTATAATAAGATATAGGAAATCTTTCAATTATGGTGCCCATACATCCCATTTTGCCTGGGACAGTCCCAGTTTATAACTATTATAGATTAATGTCCATTAATTATTTTCATAACCCCTTTAATTCTCAAAAGTGCTCCAGTTTGGAGGATAAGCCATATGTTCATCCTACTTATTTATAATAATTAAAGCAACTAAATCCATAGTCCAAAATGTTCCTCGAATGTTCCTCCTAAAAGAATTCCAGGCCTAGATTTACCAACCAGTTCTACCAAACATTCGTGGAAAAAAATAATTGCAGTCTTAGCCAAACTCTTTCACAAAATAGAAAAAGAAGAGCTACTTCCCAACTCTTAAGACTAGCATAACCTTGTTACTAAAATGTGGCAAAGACAATACATGAAAAGAAGATTACAGGCAATCTCACTCACGAACACAGACACAAAACTCGTAATCCAAATATCTGCAAACTGAATTTAGCAGTTTCTAAAGGCATAGTACATTATGACCAAGTTGGCCATATACCAGGAGTCCAAAGTTGGTTTTACATTAGAAATAACTAAGATAGGCTGGGCCTGGTGGCTTACACCTGTAATCCCAGGGCTTTGGGAGGCTGAGGTGGGAGGAGTACTTGAAGCCAGGAGTTTGAGACCAACTTGGGCAACATAGCAAGACTTCGTCTCTACAATAATAATAATAATTTTAAAAGCTGGATGTGATGGTGTGTGCCTATACTCCCAGCTACTCAGGAGACTGAGGTGAGAGGATTACTAGAGCCCAGGAGTTCGAGGCTGCAGTTAGCTATGATTGTGCCACTGCACTCCAGCTTGGGCAACAGAGTGAGAACTTGTCTCTAAAAAAAAAAAAAAGAAAGAAAAGAAAGAAAAAAATCAACTAAAATAATCCACCATGTTACCGCATTACCACATTAGAGAAGAAAATCATAACATCTTCTCAATAGAAATGGAAAAAAGCATTTGATAAAATTCAGCATACATTCATGATTTAAAACTTCTTATCAGAGTGAGAATAAAAAGGAACTTCCTTGATAGTTATCTTCCAAAATCATACACATATTATTCTTAATGGTGATGTTAGGTGGAGATCAGGGCAATACAAGCTTCCTACTATCATCGCCTCGATTTGGCATCGTGATGGTGGTCCCAGCCAATAAAGTAAGAAAAGAGAAAGAAATGGATTGTATAAGAACTAGAAAGGAAGGAGCAAAACCATCATTATTAGTGACTGATATGCTTATGTAATAGACATTTTTAATTAGAACTGCATATATTATTATTAGAATTAATGAGAGATGAGCAATTTTTCTGGATATGAAAAAATCAAAATTACATTTCTTTACACCAGCATCAAAGCATTGGAAAATGGGGATAAAAAGATAAATTTACGATAGCACCAAAACATATAATGTACCTAGGAAGAAAATCTAACAAAAATGTTATGGAGAAAACAATAAATCTTTATTAAGAGAGATCAAAGAAAATATAATGGAGAAACATAGTAGTCCCCCCTCACCCATAGTGGATACATTCCAAGACCCCCAATGGATGCCTGAAACTGCAAATAGTACTGAACTCTATATATATTGTTTTCTCCTGTGCACACAAACCTATAATAAAGTTTAATTTATAATTTAGGCACAGCAAGCGATTAAAAACAACAAATAATAAAATAAAACGATTATGACAATATGTCAGCATTATTCCCCTTGCGCTTTAGGGCCATTATTAAATAAAACAAAGGTTCTTTGAACACAAGCACTGCAATACTGCAACAGTTGGCATTGATAACTGAGATGGCCACTAAATGACTGATGGGTGGGGGGCGGGTACAGCATGGATCCTCTGGACAAAGGGATGACTCATTTTCTGGGCTACACAGAGCAGGACAGTATGAGATTTCATCCCCCCACTCAGAACAGTGCAGATTTAAAACTTATGAATTGTTTATCTCTGGAATTTTCCATTTAATATTTTGGGACTGTGGCTGAACAAAAGTAACAGAAACTGTGGAAAGCAAAACAGTGGATAAGGGGAGACTACTGTAACAAGTTTCTGGATTGGAAGATTCAATATTATAACCTTATCAAAATTTCCCAAATCAATCCATAGATTTAGTGCAAACACAACAAATACATAATTGTTTAAGTTATTGTGCTTGGCAAACTGATTCTGACATTAATATGGACTAATAGCTGAGACTTTTTTTTTTTTTCCTGAGACAGAACCTTGCTCTGTTACCCAGGCTGGAGTGCAGTGGCATGATCTCGGCTCACTGCAACCTCCACTTCGTGTATTCAAGCAATTCTCCTGCCTCAGCCTCCCGAGTAGCTAGGACTACAGGTGCGCACCACCACCCCTAGCTAAGTTTTGTATTTTTAGTAGAGATAGAGTTTCACTATGTTTTCCAGCCTGGTGTCGAATTCCTGACCTCAGGTGATCCTCCCACCTTGGCCTCCCAAAGTGCTGGGATTACAGGCATGAGCCACCATGCCCATCCAGCTGAGACATTCTTAAAGAAGAAAAGCAGGGTGAAAATATTTGCCCTGTACGATGTTGATGACTTAATACATCACTAGAAGGATTAAGAAGGTATAGGATTGGCTCAGGAATAGACAAACAGACAAGTGGTACAGAGAGAGAGCCCCAAAATACACCTGGACACATATGGACACCTGATATACAACAGAGTTGGCATTGCCAATAAATGATGAAAGAATGGCTTTTTCATGAAAGGATGCTGAAACAATTGGGATTTCTTACAAACGAATAAAATCAAAAATGGTCCTATACCTTACATTACACTCAAAAATCATTTATAGGTAAATTATATGTCAAAAGCAAACCTATAATGCGTTTAGAAGATAATATAGCAGATATCTTTAAGACTTGGGAATATGGAAATATCTCTTAAATATTATAGTAAACCATCTAGCCGTAAAGTAAAAGATTAATAAATAAGGCAACATTAAAACTAAGCTTCTCATCATCAAAAGACACGAGACTGGGAGAATATATTTGCAATAAATATAGATGATGAAGGATTCATCTCAAGAATATATATATGTTAATATAGTTTTAAAGACCCCTACTAATCAGTGAGAATAAGGCAGACAGCTCAGTAGAAACATGCGCATAGGATTTGGATACGCAACTCAATAAAGAGGCATTCCAGATGTCTGATAAACAGGTGAAAGGTGTTATCTTCATTTGCATTCACGGAAATGAACCTTGAAAAAACAGCGAGATACCCTACAACCCCATCAGGTTGGCTAAAATTATGAAATCTAAAATAAGTTTGGGAACTCAAATGCATTGCTAATGTGAGCACAAACTGGTACGACAACTTTAGGAAACAGTATGACATTATGGCACAGTTGTCAATGTATTGCTTTTCAGCTCCAATTCACTTTTCAATACAAGTTTGAGATGACGAAATTTCTTTAATCATTTCTCCTTAAGTGAGCACGATGTTGAGATTTCTCAGTAGAGGGCGCTAGGCAGGAGCTGCAGGAGGGAGGGGCGCTTCTGCAGCTTCTGGAGGAGGCTCAGTGGGTCAACAGAGCAGGTGGGAACGGGCCCTTCCACATGCCCAGGGTGCAAAGTCCCTCAGCGACCTCACAGCCCCCATGTCAGCTCAACAGGGTCACTGTGTTTCAGGTGCCCTCAGGCCTGCTGTACACTCACACACAGGCCACCAGCCTGCACTTTGGAGAGCTACTTCCTGTTTTTTTCCACCACTGCAAACCAACAAATTTCCGACAGTTTTGGAGAGGGAGTCCCTTGCAAGCTTATTCTTCCTTGGGTAACTCTTTCTTGGCCCTAGGGCACTATGCAAGTTTTCTTATTTTCTATAGTTACTCCTTTATGCCAACTTAATAATTCTTTATATTAAACTCCCCCTTTGCGGGAGGAGTTTATATTAAACTAAACCTGTTGTGTTTAAAATAATTGTGTGGTTTCTTTCTTCTGATTGGATCCACCCTGCTAAATATTGAGGACGTGTCATATAATTCCACAGCAATTCCACTTCTAATTATCTTTTCTAGAGGAGCTTTTTGCACACGTGCATTAATTTACAGGAACCAAAACGTTTACAGCAGCAATTTGCATAAAAGCCAAATTCTGAAAATAACTCAAATGTTCATAAAGAGAGAACAGATAATTAAATTGTGTTACAGTCCTACAGGGAAATGAAAATCAGTGAACTACGGCTAGACAGAACAAAATGGATGAATGTCACAGACTCAATGTTCAGTGAAACACGCAAGTTACAAGTTGGTATTTACTATATAATCCCATTGATTCCATTTAAAGTTCAACTTTATGTAAAAGTAAACCACATTGTTTGGGTATATACATATATATACACACACACACGCACATACAGATGGTAAAACTATAAAGAAAAGCAAGGAAATAAATACTTTAAAAGTTGGAATAATGGCTACCTTTTACTTTTGGGGTGCTCTCTTTGTCATCTGGATGTGGTTACATAGGTATTTGAATTACAATTCCTCTTTAACTTATGCATATAATTTCTGCACATTCTATTAAAGTCTTTGCAGTTTTGTAAATTAATAATCACAACACGAAGACATAGTTCCTGCCTTTATGAAATTTGTGGGGAGAAAGAACAAAACAGAAAATGAGGAATCACGTAAGTTAAGATGGAGAGAGCAGGATTACAATTCCTTCCTTCCTTCCTTCCTTCCTTCCTTCCTTCTTTCCTTCTTGAGACAAGGTCTTGCTCTGCCACCCCGGCTGGAGTACAGTGACACAATCATGGCTCACTGCATCTTTGACCTCCTGGGCTCAAATGATGCTCCCACCTCAGCCTCCTGAGTAGCTGGGACTACAGGGGTGTACCACCACACCTGGCTAATTTTTGTATTTTTTGTAGAGATGGGTTTTTTGTCATGTTGCCCAGGCTGGTCTCAAACTCCTGGGCTCAAGGGATCCACCTGCCTCAGCCTCCTAAAGTGCTGAGATTACAGTCATGAGTCACTGTGCCTGGCCTGCAATTCATTTTTTAAACAAATATCTTTGGACTTCAACCTGCTAGAATAGACCTTGGAACAATGAAATATGACAAATATTTTAAAAATACATTGTCCAGCTGGCAAGAAATTATGGCGAGTTCACAGGGTGGACAACAAAGAGATAATCAACAAGCAGAGATATGGTGAGCTGACGCTGCAGTTGCCTTAGGGGCAAAAATGATGTACTGGTCTCAGTAGCGAGGCAGCTTGGATTTTAATGGTCACCTGCTGTCCAGGATAGGACCTGATGTCATAAAGGAAATGGGAAGGTTGAACTGAGACCCTGGATAAAGCTATACTGTGGAGACATGTTAGACTATAAAAAGAATTACAGACACAGGAAGATAAAAGAAAGCTTTTGTGTTTTGGTTTGCACTCCAGTTAGAATAAAATCAGGGATGTAATCCCAGCACTTTGGGAGGCTAAGGCAGGCAGATCACGTGAGGTCAGGAGTTCCAGACCAGCCTGGCAAACACGGTGAAACCCCATCTCTAATAAAAGTACAAAAAAGTCAGCTGGGCATGGTGGTGTGTGACTGTAATCCCAGCTACTTGGGAGGCTGAGGCAGAAGAATTGATTGAACCCGGGAGGCGGAGGTTGCAGTAAGCCGAGATTGCACCACTACACTCCAGAGTGAGACTCCATCTTAAAAAAAAAAAAAAAAAGCCCAGCGCGGTGGCTCACGCCTGTAATCCCAGCACTTGGGGAGGCTGAGGTGGGTGGATCACCTGAGGTCAGGAGTTTGAGACCAGCCTGACCAATATGGTGAAACCCCATCTTTAAAAATAAAAATAAATTTAAAAAAAAAAAGAGAAGAAAGAAAAGAAAAGAATAAAATGAGGGAAAAATGTTCCCAGTGTTTGTCTGGTATTCTAAATTACATTACCCATGTAAGCCAGTAACCCCTAGGTAGATACATTAACATAAGAATTAGTGATCCTAGGATGATACTACTGCTGGGCACCTGGTGGAAGGAACTCAAAACATCTTTAGAGAAATATACCTGAACCCAGACCACATGGAATGACCACCAAATGGAAACTCATAAACCTAAATTACAATAATATGAGGAAACAATTCATCCTGACCAAGAGTCAACAGACACAATAGTCAGCA